GACCAGGCCTAAGTATCAGGTGCCTTTAGATGCCTCATTTTGGATACCCCAAATTCTAGTCACTTTTGAAAATCTTGCCTTCAGAGCTCAGGAGCATTTGAATTTGGAGTTCTGGTGTTTGAAATAAAATAACGCTTTTCCGTTGCCCTCACTTTCTCCCTATTTTCACGCCCAGTTAAAACAAAACAAAAAAAAAGGCACCGCTCTTTAGATAGTCTAGCTACCTCTAGTGCTGCTTCCAAACTGACTTACATTTTTTCTAAGGGACTTTAAATGAGGGCTTTAAGACAAAGCTATAACAGGCACCCATCAATGCTTTTGACTGTCTGTCAGACCTGCTGAGACAACTGGATTAGCTCAGCCTTGGAGATGAAGCAAAGTGATCTAGGTGTAGGCCCAAGAAGAGAACTGAGAGAGAAAACTGAATTTGCCTTCTGGGTTCTGGCAAGTGACAAGAATGCTTTAAAAGAGCTTTTATACTTAGTCTATGATAATTGTTGAATTATGGTGTAACTCATCAAAGTGCACCTATTTCACATTTCAATCATTTGTCAGACATTTTGTTTTGTACTTCACTGGTCAGCATTTATGGTCCATATGCCCCTCTGGGCCCAGTCCACTGAGGATGGGAGCCTGTGAAAGCGGTCACCTTGGAGTCTTATGCTCAAATAAATTTGTTAGTCTCTAAGGTGCCACAAGTACTCTTGTTCTTTTTGCGGATACAGACTAACACGGCTGCTATTCTGAAACCTTGGAGTCTGGCTCTTTAGCACAATCTGTAAAGATTCATGCTTTTCGCTGTGGAGGTTGAGTCCCTGGTGTTTGCCAACATGGCAGCCATCACACTTCCAAGCAGTCCATGTTGGCATGTTTGAAGGCTGAGAGGTATGTGTCACACTGGCAAGGAAGGAGGACCCAGAGGAAGGAGGAATGTAATTAGGCAAATATTCTGGAGTAATACAAGGATGTGCACCTCACTGCTGCAGCTGCTCCTGGTTGTATCCAATTCCAGCAGCCTATGTGAGATTAGGGAGCATTTTGCAAAATGATTTGATTGCACAATACATACCTCAGCTCCATCAAACTTGCACTCTACCGCCAAAGCATCCATTTCTCTATAATTGCTTTACTCTCTGTAAGTTACAATAGCTCAACCAACTTTAATGAAAAAATATTAATTGTTGATTGAGACTTTACATGCCAGATTTCGGTTCCAATTCCTAATTTTATAATTTATGGAACATTAGGTTGTTGATCATGAAAAAGCACTATAGGTACTCATAAATGGTTTTTAGCAATAGTGTGTGTGTTTGTGGAGGCACTTGTGCCAGCAGCCATGTATCATGTAAGCCACTGCATACATTGCAACTGCTGGTTTCATGGGGGCAACATTTGGTAGTGTGAGTATCAGGGTTCTTCCTCCCTTCCACTCCCCACCCTCCTTTGCTGGATATTGTCTATTGTGCTTACTGCGTTAATGATCACAGAGTATAGCTTTAGCATTTAGGTATTATGGTGATGGGTGCAGCAGAAATATCTGAAATAAATACATACAGTGAAGAGATAATGGGACTGTGAGGCAACAGGAAAAGAGTGAGTGGCAGACAACGTATTTTAGCACACGAGCACATCATATAGTTTGGAAACTACAGCATTTCTTCATCTGGTTTGAATCCCCTATTATAATATTTAAAAAAAAAAGATGGAGGAAAGAACAACATTGAACTTCATGTTTATATCCCATTGGTTGTATCAATTTATTTTCACTGCAAGTCTGTTACTATTGTTTACCTTGGTCCTGAACATTACAGAATGGTGCAAGAGTGCAAAATGGACAGATGTCAAGTTGTTAGCTACACCTCCTTCTGAAGCCACTCTCTGCCAAGTAAGGAGAATTGAACACAAGTTAGAGAGCAAAGAAGTTAGGGCCAGATTCTCATATCTAATAGGACACTTTGCTCTCGCAGGGTAAAGGGGATTTAAACATGGGTGTAAATGGAACTTTCACTCCCTTTATGACCTTTACGGACCCATTCTACTGCTCTGGCTCTGTATTGTAACTGATATGGCCCGAATGCATTGCAGAGTTCCTCAGAGAGGATCAGTCACTGAGGAACACGCATGGGAAGATGCAGGAGCTTCCATTATTCAAGGTCACATACATATGCAGAAAGAAAAGAAATGATTGGTGCTGTCTCATCCAAAGCTGCAGATGCTCAGTCTCCACTAGGGAACATTAGTGGTTGGAACATTAAATCCAAATGAAAGCATGATCCAGTCCTATATCTCACCCCTCAGAATCAGAAACATTGACCTCCCGAGCAGTGCAACAGCTCCACCCACAACTGAACTCTATGGCCAAGACCAGCAATATCACCCCAATGCACCAGTCACTGGGGAGAACAATTAAAGAACAACAAGCTGGCACCACAGATCCCTGCACAGAACTACCACACTAGCAAACAGCCTCCACACAGTGAAAGATGCACCGCAGCCTCTGGCCAAATACAGAATCAGTGAAGTGGAAAGTGGGAGCCATTCAGCACAGTCCAAACCCAGAGTAGGGTGACTGTGAGCCCACCTGACAGGCAAGATTGAGACAGGGGCTGTTTCTATTCCCATGTCAAATATCTGAGCGTGTGAGAGCAATTTCAGCACATTACCTGAAATGATGGAACACTTTCTGTCAAAAATACACCTAACCCGGGAGCCAGAGGGAGCTGGGAGAGGGCTTCCTACTGCGGCGCCACCTGGGCTGTGGGGACAAATGAAGACATGGGGAAAAACCTCCTGCACCCTGCGAGCTTTTTGCTGGGCACAACTTACCTACCTCTGGAAATTCCCTTTGGTGCCAACACGCCTACAGCTTGTTATGTGGCTAACAGCGCCACTCATTTCCCTCTCCCGCTCCCACTCCCTTTGTGTGACCTCACAATTGGATACTAAGCGTGTTTCCTAGTAACCACGGAACGCAGAAATACCGGCCACAGCTGGACCTCCCTGCTCTGTGCCCCAGGCGGGCCGGGCTGGGCTCTGGCCCTGGGATGCTGCGCACCCCGGAGGGGACGGAACCAGACGGGCAGCGCGAGGAGAAATCAGCTGAGCAGACAAAAGGGAAACACCAGCTGCCGCTCTCCGCCCTGTCCGCCTTCAGCTACATCCCGCCCGGCCGCAGGGACCCCCCGGAGCACAGCTACTTCCACCAGGAGTTCAAGGTGAGGGGGAGGAGAACGGGGCAGGGCGCGGAAAGGACAGCATGGAGCGGGGCTGGGGGAGAGGGAATGAAAAGAGGAGGAATAAGAAAGAGGGGGCATAGGAGTGAAAGCGAAGAGGCTGCAGGAGGCAGCAGAAACATCACACACGCAGGGATGTGCAAGGAAGTAAGTAGGTGTTTGTACATTTCCCCTGGAGAGGAAAATGCACTCTTGGCTTTCCCTCCCCACCCTTAAATCTTAAATTTGCAGAGCCTGGGCCCCTGAGTGGTCAGCACTCATCATTCCTCCTAAGTAAAGCAATTAATATCAACAAGGATGTTCAGCACCTGGAAAATCTTGTTTGCTCCTTCGGGTATAATTTACAAAAAAAAATAATTGGTTATATGGTGATTTACTGAGCCCTAGAGAAATTAATAAAGGGCGTGTATAATAAGTTCAGCTTTTTGGCACTTTTATGCAGTCTCATTCAATCTGGGACCATGTAGTTGCATCTAATAAGATTGGGGTGGGTTGGTCTTAGTCACAATAGACATGACAACACAACCATCTGAAATTTGATGCCAATATTTTAAAGGCACACAAATCAACCACACGAGAATGTCACACTTTTGCCTTATGCTGGAAAATCCACTTTAGCACTTACATAGCACTTTTATTTTTCAAAGTTCTTTGTAAAGTGTAATTAATAGCAATATTAGTAGCAATAATAGGGCTCAGATGTTCCTAGATGTGCTTGCTGATCAATTCCTTCATCAAGTGGTAGCTGAACCGACGAGGGGGGAGGCCATTTTAGATTTGATTTTGGTGAGTAGTGAGGACCTCGTTGAGGAAGTGGTAGTAGGGGACAACTTGGGCTCCAGTGATCATGAGCTAATCCGCTTTAAACTAAACGGAAGGAGTAACAGAATTAAATCAAAGACTAGGGTTTATAATTTTAAAAAGGCCAATTTTAACAAATTAAGGGGACTGGTAAGGGAAGTGGATTGGGCAAACATATTAATGAATCTTAAGGCAGATAATGCCTGGGATTACTTTAAGTTAAAGATGCATGAGCTGTCAGAGGCCTGTATCCCAAAAAAGGGAAAAAGATTACTAAGCAAGAGATTTAGACTGAGCTGGATGAGCGACCGACTCAAAGGGGCGATTAGGAAAAAACAAAAAGCGTACAAAGAGTGGAAGAGGGGAGGGATCAGTAAGGAAACTTACCTTAGTGAAGTCAGAGAATGTAGAGATAGAGTGAGAAAGACCAAAAGCCGTGTAGAGTTGGACCTAGCGAGGGGAATTAAAAGCAATAGTAAGAGGTTTTACAGCCATATAAATAGGAAGAAAGCAAAGAAAGAAGAAGTGGGACCGCTGAAGACTATAGCCGGAGAGGAGATTAAAGATAATCTAGGCATGGCACAATATCTCAACGAATATTTTGCATCGGTGTTTAATGAGGCCAATGAAGGTATTAGGGATACTAGCACTGTGATAGAGGGGCATACAGAATGGGGGATTACCATATCCGAGGTAGAAACAAAACTCGAACGCCTTAATGGGGCTAAGTCGGGAGGACCGGACGATCTTCATCCGAGAATATTGAAGGAATTGGCGCGGGAAATAGCAGGCCCATTAGCGATAATATTTAATGAATCTGTAAACTCGGGGGTGGTTCCGTTAGACTGGAGAATAGCTAATGTGGTTCCTATTTTCAAGAAAGGGAAAAAAAAGTGATCCGGGTAACTATAGGCCTGTTAGTTTAACA